AGCAAGTTGAATATGTGTTCATTATCTATGTAATACTGACAATCTGGAAAAAAGCACTTACGACGATCACTATATTTCGTAAATATATAAATGAGTCTAATTTCTCATGAAAAAGTTTTAAATAACCAAAGTTGGAGCTCCTATTTACTAAAACAATTAAAATTAATCAAAGCATTTTAAAAAAAGAAGGAAACTAGATCAGAAAAGGAGCAGCTGGGACCGAAACCAATGCTCATATGGGATGCTGGCACCACAGAAGGCAGCTTAACCCTCTGTGTCATGATGCCAGCCCCTTTTACCATTACTTTTACAGAACAAACTTAACTCTGATTGGGTCAGGTTATCCAACTTTTGGGATTCTTAACTTCATCTTCCTACTAGTTAAATAATCTCTAAAAGAACCTCCAATGCCCATGTACAAACCACAAACAGCCTGGGATCTGTGGTCAATGCAGCTGTCGATTCAATAGTTCTGGGATAGGATGGGTATGGTGGCACAGCACACTAAGCCACCTTCGAGATGCCCACATTCCATATCAGAGTGCTGGTTCCAGTTCCTGCTACTCTGCTTCTGACCTAACTTCCTGTTAAAACACCTGAGAAGGCAGCAGGTAATGGCCCAACTATCTAGGTTCCCACCATCCATGTGGGAGACCTGGATTGACTTCTGGGTTCCTAGCTTCAGCCTGGTCTAGCCCTCACTGTTGCAGACATTTGAGGAGTGAACCAGCAGATGTAAGATTGTGTGTGTATGTGTATGCATGTATCTCCTTCTCTGTAACTATTTCAAATTAAATAAATAAATATATCTCTTTTTTTAAGATTTATTTATTTACTTGAAAGTCAGAGAGGAGGTTAAAAGCCTGGGACGTGGTGTATCCGATCTCTCTCTCTCTCTCTCTCTCTCCCCTCTTTTCCCTGGCCTCTAGCCAGGAGGGGGCTGGCTGTAGCCCTGCACCCCGCCCCCAGGCTGCATGACCTTCAAGCCACCCGCCCTAGGCTTCCTGGACTAGATGCTCCTCCACGTGGCCAGTTCCTGGTGCTCAGTATGAACCCGGATTTACCCCCTCTCTCTCCCTCTCACTCTCCTATGCATCTTTTGCACTAAATAAAAGCTTAAAATGCAAAAAAAAAAAAAAAAAAAAAAGTCAGAGAGGAGAGGCAGAGAGAGGTCTTCCATCTGATGGTTCACTCCCCAATTGGCCGCAATGGCCGGAACTGTGCTGATCCGAAGCCAGGAGCCAGGAGCTTCTTCTGGGTCTCCCATGTGGATGCAGGGGCCCAAGGACTTGGGCCATCTTCTACTGCTTTCCCAGGCCATAGCAGAGAGCTGGATCAGAAGTGGAGCAGCCGGCTCTCAAACTGGCGCCCATATGGGATGCCGGCACTGCAGGCCTGGGTGTTAACTCAATATGCCACAGCGCCAGCCCCAATAAATCTTTGTGTTTTTTTTTTGTTTGTTTTTGTTTTGTTTTGTTTTTTTAACAGGCAGAGTGGACAGTGAGAGAGAGAGACAGAGAAAGGTCTTCCTTTTCCGTTGGTTCACCCCACAATGGCTGCTGTGGCTGGCGCACCGCGCTGAACCGAAGCCAGGAGCCAGATGCTTCTCCTGGTCTCCCATGCTGGGGCAGGGCCCAAGGACTTGGGCCATCCTCCACTGCACTCCCAGGCCACAGCAGAGAGCTGGACTGGAAAAGGAGCAACCGGGACAGAATCCAGCGCCCCGACCGGGACTAGAACCCGGTGTGCCGGCGCCACAGGCAGAGGATTAGCCTATTGAGCTGCAGCGCCAGCCCCCAATAAATCTTAAAAATAAGTTCTGGCTGGGTTCATTCCTGCAGCTATAACAAACTCCCATAGACTGGGTGCCTTCTAAACCACAGGTTTTCATTCCTAACCCTTCTAGAGTCTGGAAGCCCAAGATTGCAGGCACCTGATTCAGTTTCCTTGTTTGCAATGTGTTTCTGCTGTGTCACTTATCAATTTGGGCCTCTTTTATGAGGGCACTGACCTCTCCACGCCCCAACTACCTCACAAAGGCACCACTTCTCAATGCCATCAATTGCCAGGTAGCAATTACATATGCATTTTGAGGGAGCACAAGCAATCAACCTGCAGCTAAGCCCAAAAGTTTTCATTTCTAACTCACTCTTCAGTGATACTGATGACTGGTCCAGGTACAAAACTCTGGACCCTTAAGAAGGTCTTGTGTTGGGGATATGAAATCACAGCACCTGTGATACACAGAACCCAGAGGTCACACAGCTGAGAGAGCCCACAGCTTCAAAGTCATCCTTTCCCCCTTCAAATCTTAATGTGAACAGTAACTGATGGGTGAGAGCTCATGACAAGTCCTTGTATGCAGGATGGATTTATGGGCCTGTCTGATCAAGAATTTACGGGCTGAATTTAACAGAAGGTCCTTTAGCTCTCCTCCATTTACAGCAGACAGAGTTTTTATTATTGCTATCTATTGGCCACTGTAAGGGAAATGAATGTGCAAGTCTGTAATGAAGGTGAAAAGCCTGGGTTAGCTTAAACCAAAACGAGGCCATTGGCCTGTTTGCAAGACTTCAAGGTCTTTTTCCTGTGCAATAGTTCATGATCTTTAGACATCAGTGACCTTCAGGTGGTTGGAAGGTAACAACATTTAAAATAGAGAAATCTTTAAACTTTTGACTTTTATCATGAACTGACCATTTGCTCATCTTCAATACATTTATCAGAAGCACCACATTCTTACCATTAATTTTCAAGAGCTAGGTGCAAGATGAAAACGATGTGACACTGAAAATGTGCTGGAGCAGCAGGCAATGTTGGAGGCACTACACAGACTGTCTTAGTTGATATTCATGGCCACAGTGTGCACTGTCACTGTCTCCATTTTTCACAGGACAGAACAGAGACTACAGATTTATAGTGCCAGTAAATTGCAGACTTGGAATTTGAAGTCAATGCACGAGCACGTCACAGCTCAGTGACAGAAGGAGACGGGTGAGAAATGGTTCACACAAACCTGCGTTTTCATCATTCAGTTCTCCAGGGGCACCACATTAACCCCTCTGGTGGACCTCAACAACCCTGCAGCTTTAGCACACCGGACAGACACTTCATCCCTGCTTTGCCAGTGAGGAAACTGAAGTCTGGAATGGTTGAGTCGGTCATTTGATAACACCTTCTGAAAAGAGAACCAGGTGTCAGATTCACTAACCTTGTGCTCATCCACAGCTCATCTTTAGGACACATCACTTAAATGGATTAACAGAAGTACATTGTCCCTGGAAGACTGCAGTTAAACTATCATCACACAGTAATTTATCATTCTTAGGACTGCAAGGGGGGTATTTCCCACCACTACCTGTCCAGATGGACTGGAAAGGTTTCCCACATCCAGCAAATTCCTGGGTTGGTGCGCATATGAAAGGATAGGAGACACTGACAGTCTAAGCACATTTGATATCCAGGGTGGGTTATTTTAACATCTTGCTTGTTCTATGCAACAAAAGTATTTTCAGTTATAATCATGTAATGGTAAGTATCATCATTTTCCTTAATTCACTCCTTGGTTTAAAAACCAACAATTATGTTTAAAAAGAATATATTTCAGGGGTTGGCACCGTGGCTCATTTGGTTAATCCTCCACCTGTGGCGCCGGCATTCCATATGGGCCCTGGGTTCTAGTCCCAGTTGCTCCTCTTCCAGTCCAGCTCTCTGCTGTGGCCCGGGAAGGCAGTGGAGGATGTCCCAAGTGCTTGGGCCCCTGCACCCACATGGGAGAGCAGAAGAAAGCACCTGGCTTCTGGCTTCGGATCGGCGCAGCGCGCCGGCCACCGTAGCCATTTAGGGAGTGAACCAATGGAAGAAAGACCTTTCTCACTGTTTCTTTCAAATTAAGCCATTGTCCACATTCACAAAGATAATGTATAAGCTAGAATCTGCACATTAACAAAAATGCTTCACCTTGTCTTTCTCACTGCTTTTCACTCCTTCTTTTACACACCTAACATCACAGAAAGAAATTAAATAATGCAAGTTCTTTTTCTTTCCTGTATATGTTTTTTCAAATCTGTATGTGAACTTAGGGAACATATATGTGCTCAGCAGCCTCACGTGATCAGAGACAATCATATAAGTGGCTTGAAGGAGGTGTTGTATCCCCTCATTGGTATCTACTTGCTTTTAGTCCTTTGAGAATGGATTAGTTTTTGCCCAGTGTAAGTCAGAGTGTAGGATAGATCTTCAGGAAGAGTAACCAATGAAATTCCAGAAGGTAATTCCCGCCCGCCACCCCGCCACCTATGGGGAGCAGGAGCGCCCTGTGGTCAAGCAGCCCCGCCAGCCACCCGGCAGAGAAGCAAGTCCTGAGTGGGCCTGACCCCGAGCAGCCAAGGGTCCTGAGGGCCGCCCCGGCCAGTCTGCTTCGCAGGCGCCCACGCAGGAGACAGAGGCCCTCGCGGCCGGCTCCTAAGTACTGCTGCTTCCTAGGACGTGCAGGGCGGATAGCAGCGGGAGGAGGGGTGACAGCGACAGCCCGCGCCAAGGCGCGTCGGCAAAGTGGACCCCAATGCCCGCGTCTGCCGGTGGCTTTCTCCTCAGCACGTGCCACCTCCTTCGCGGCCTCAGCCACCTCGGCACCGCTGGGAGCCTCTTCTGGCCTCGTGGCGCCGGGTCCTCACCCCGCACGCCGACTGCCACGTGGGGCCTCCGCGGCACCCAGGGAGCACCGCCGGCGGGAACACAGGCGGCGGGCGCCCGCGCAGGCCGACTGCCGACTCCCGCCTCCGCCGTCGCGCGCTGCCGCTGGTTCGAGCCCCTGCCCGCCAGGGCCCCGGCCCCCAGCTTCGGCCTGTCTCTGTTCTCGCCCTCAAACATAAATTGAGAAATAAGCAAAAGCGAGATTCGTCCAGGGAGAAACACCAATCTGCACACCCCTCTTTAGGTCCGGCCCTGGGAGCGCCCACAGCGCCGTCAGGCCCCGCCCCCGGGCCCGCCCCTGTTTGCGTCATATCTCCGCGCCGCCGCCGGAAGCGTGGTCGTGTACTCTACTGGGCTGAGGCCGATGTGGCTCCGGCTCGAGATGGTTCCCGGTGCCCGGGAGTGAGCGATGCCCGGGCTCCTGTCTCTGGCCCACAGAGTCGGCCTGGCCGCCGTGCGCTGCCGTTGCTGCTGTTGCGGGCTCGGGATGTTCTATGCCGTCAGGAGGGGCCGCAAGACCGGCGTCTTCCTGAGCTGGTGAGAGCGGGCCCGGCGTCTCCCTCCCGCGCGAGCCCTCAGGTCCGGGGGGACGCGGGGGTGCCCGGCCGGCGTCAGCCCGGCTGGCTCGACTCCCTTGGTATGCTAGGACTCAGAAACGCCTGCGAGAGCTGGGAGGTGACCGGGGACTCAGAATTCCCCAGCACCAGCCAGCGCTCCCCGAAGATGTTTGATGTCCGCTAAGCGGGGGCCGCCTCTCAGATAGTGCCCAGCCTGACTAGCAACTCCCTGTTTGAAAGACACTTTCTTCAAGCTCGCGCTTGCGGCTGGATCCCGTGTTGATGTTAGGTAGTTCCCGGGGCAGGCAAATGAGAGCCTCGAGCCCCGGAGTTGCGACCGCACGACCACCACGCTTCCCGCACACGTGTGTTCTGGCACTGAGAAAGAAGCGTTTGCGACGTGGAGCTTGCGGTAGGGGCCTTCCCGAAGTAGAGAAGGAAAAAGGACTTCCCGTGGGCGCGGAGTGCAGCAGTACCAGCCTGCCTGCGGCAGTTCCCGCGTCTGCTGGTCAGCACGGTGCCGGCCTGTTCACTGTTAGCCACTCAGCGTACAGTTCACTACCAATGGGCGAAAAGCGTGAGACCTACTGAGAGCAGCTAGTTAACATAATCGGTAACTGCAGGCGTGTCCAGCCTTACAGCCATCCCTAGAGCCGCCGTGTAGCATTATAACATCCCATCGAAATGGACGTAGCCATTTGTGGGGGACAGAGAAGCTGAAAGGTGTATAGGACGTGTCCGTCCTCCGGTCTCAGCTGGTTGGATAGGAATCCGGCTTGAGCCTCATGCCGGCATGAAAATACTGTTTTCTTGCGGCGCCGGCACACCGGGTTCTAGTGCCAGTTGGGGCGCCGGATTCTGTCCCGGTTGCCCCTCTTCCAGGCCAGCTCTCTGCTGTGGCCAGGGAGTGCAGTGGAGGATGGCCCAAGTGCTTGGGCCCTGCACCCCATGGGAGACCAGGAGAAGCACCTGGCTCCTGGCTTTGGATCAGCGCGGTGCGAGGCCGCAGCGCGCTGGCCGCGGCGGCCATTGGAGGGTGAACCAACGGCAAAGGAAGACCTTTTTCTCTGTCTCTCTCTCTCACTGTCCACTCTGCCTGTCAAAAAAAAAAGAAAATACTGTTTTCTGCTAAAGCTTCAGTGAGTGTTTAGGATGCTGTGGGGTTCAGGGAAGCCACTGCTGGCGTACTCTCCGGCTGGCATAGCACTGGGTGTAGAGTCTGACCTGCAAGACAAAACAATAAGCCCATATGGTTTGCCTCACAGTCGGTCCCTTTGCCCCAAGGAACTAACAGTTCATCCTTTGTCAAGCTGTGTCCAACCTAAGAAAAGAATCTAGGTCAGTTCAAAATGTAAGTTAGGAGGGAGGGAGAGAGGGAGGGAGGAAACGGTATTGCATGTGTTTTCCAGGGATGAGTGCCGAGCCCAGGTGAACCGGTTTCCTGCTGCCAGATTTAAGAAGTTTGCCACGGAAGATGAGGCCTGGGCCTTTGTCAGGAACTCCACAAGCCCAGATGGTTCTGAAGGTATCAGTTCTCGTGGCAGTGTTGTGATTGGACCTATTGCACCCATTCTGTGTCCTCAGATGTCATTTGATCTTTGTGGCCACACTCCAGGCGCACAGAGGATGCTGTCACTGTTTCTGCTTCACAGGTTAGAAAACGGGCAGAAAGCAGTTAAGAATAGTAGTTCATGGCAGTTACAGTGTTTGAGACATGCCAAGACACAGAGCTCCTCGTCCATGCAGTGTCCACCGTGCCAGAATCCCTTGTCTTTAAAACGTATACTTCCTGGTGTCAGCGCTGTGGTGCAGTGGGTTAAAGCCTTGGCCTGCAGCTCTGGCATCCCATATGGGCACCGGTTTAAGTCCCAGCTGCTCCACTTTCCATCCAGCTCTCTGCTAATTCACCTGTGAAGGTAGCAGAGGATGGCCCAAGTGCTTGGGCCCTTGTACCCATATGGGTGACCCAGAGACCTGGTTCCTGGCTTCAGGCTTGGCCCAGCCAGTTGTTTCAGCCATATAGCTAGTGAACCAGCAGATGAAGACCTCTCTCTCTGTCTCTGTCTCTACCTCTCTGTGTAACTCTGCCTTCCGATTAAATAATGTAAATCTTTTTTTTTTTAAAAAAAAAAAGAATAGTTATTGGGGACCAGCATTGTGGTGTAGTGGGGTAAACCGCTGACTGCAACACCAACATCCCTTGTGGGCACTGGTTCTTGTACCTGCTACTCCACTTGGGATCCAGTTCTCTGCTAACGGCCTGGGAAGAGCAGCTGAAGATGCCCCAAGTGCTTGGGCCTCTGCACCCACGTGAGAGACCTGGAAGAAGCTCCTGGCTTGTGGCTTTGACCTGGCTCAGCCCTGGTCGTTGGCCATTTGGGGAATGAACCAGTGGATGGAAGATGTCTCTGTATCCCTGCCCCCCCAATTCTGCCTTTCAAATAAATCTTGAAGGAAAAAAAAGTGGCATTTACTGGACCCACTGGGCTGTGGTTTAAACTTTAAAGGATGTGCATGGTTCCTGTAATGTCATGGACCTGTGTGGAGTTGCCTTTTTATTTAGAACAGAACTATACAGTATGAATTTCTGTCTTTCTTTTATCTATTTATTTGAAATACAGAGTTACAGAGAGAGATAGAGACAGGGAGAGAGGTCTTCCATCTGCTGGTTTACTCCCCAGATGGTCACAATGGCCAGAGCTGCGCTGGTCCAAAGCCAGGAGCCTTCTCCAGGTTTCCCACATGAGTGCAGGGGCCCAAGGACTTGGGCCATCTTCTACTGCTTTCCCAGGCCACAGCAGAGAGCTGGATCAGAAGTGGGGCAGCCGGAACTTGAACTGGTGCCCATATGGGATGGCCCAAGTCTCTGAGCACCTGCCACGTGGGAGGCCAGGAAGAAGCTCTGGCACTTCAGGCCAGGGCTTTAACCTGCTGCGCCACAGCGCCAGCCCCTCCACAGTATGAATTTCTTCCAGTTCCATGTATTACAGAAAATATAGTTATTTGAAGTTCAAGGCCTAATAAAAGGGACATCAGATATGCAGGACTCAGATAAGCAGGGTGACTCTTTACTACAGCATTTTTATTTTGCTTTAGTTGAGAGGCAGAGAGAAATCTCCCATCTTCCTCCCATGCTTCCGTTTCCCTCAACAGGTGTGGTTAGGCTGAGCTGAATCCCAGAGCTCAGGACTCATTTCAAGGCTCCCACGTGGGTGGCAGGGACTGGCTTGCAGCTTAAGCCGTCAGCTGCTGCCTTCCAGGGTACACGTTAGCAGAAAGCTGAAGGCAGGGCTTCAACCCGGATACACAGGTGTCTTAATTGCTAGGCCAAGTACTTGTCCCCAAGGACACAGATTTTTAAAAATACATATTTGAACCTACATTTTGTTTTGAGAATGAAAGCAGAAGTGATTTATTGAGAGAAAGCAGAAGTGAAAGAAAATGCTCCCAGCAGCACCAAGAGGGGTCCCTGAAAGAAGGGAGCCCGGAACTGACTTTGAAGAAGTGTTTTTCTCCCCCCTCAACTGGAACTGTTGTAATATCACCAAGTAAGACTGAGCAGAGTGGCTGGCATTGTGGCAGCAGTTAAGCCACCACCTACAACGCCAGCATCCCATATGAGCAGTAGTTGGAGTCCCGGCAGCTCTGCTTCTGGTCTAACTCCCTGCTAAGGCACTGGGAAGGTAGCAGAAGATGGCCCAAGTGCTTGGGCCCCTGTCACCCATGTGGGAGACACAGATGAGGTTCCAGGCTCCTGGCTTCAGAATGGCCCAACCTCAGCCGTTTGGGGAGTGAACCAGTGGATGAAAGATCTCTCTCTGTGTCTCCCTCTCTCTAACTCTCTGCTTTTCAAATAAATATATCATATATATATATATACATATACACACACATATATGTATTATATATATAAGACTGAGCAAAGCATAGTGCTAACCAGCTTCTCCAAAACAGTGTCTCTCTAGAGGACACACTGAGATACTTGCACAGAGAGCAACTGCTCTTTTGGGATGTCATAACAACTTTTTTTTGAAGGTTTGTTTATTTGAAAGGCTGAGATACAGAGAGATGGAAGGAGAGATGGAGAAGGAGATCTTCCATCTGCTAATTCACTCCTCAGATGGCTGCAGCAACTAGGACTGGGCCAGGCTGAAGCCCAGAGCCAGAGCTTCTTCCTGGCCTCCCGCAAGAGACTTAGGCCATTTTCTGCTGCTTTCCGAGGCCTTTAGCAGAGAGCTGGGTCAGAGGTGGAGCAGCCAGGACTCTGTCACCCATGTGGAACACTGGCATTGCAGACAGCAGCTTTACCTGCTATGCCGTAACACTGACCTCACGTCACAGCGATCCTGACAGCGGAGCCCGGGGAGAGGCAGGTCATGCTCAGAATCCACTCCTGAAGGGCTGATTTCTAGAGTGGGAAGCCTCACTCGGTGCATCTGCCTCCTCTGTCTTCTGGCAGCTTGTAAAGGACTTTGAGTGTGACAGCTGCACTTTCTATCCACACGGAGAAGTCAGTTCAGGACAGACAGCAAGTTTGGAAGTATGGCTCCATGGTTGGGTTCTTAATAGTTCTTCAGGCGGGTTTATGTTTTTATCCAGTCAGTAATTTAATGTACCAGTTCTTCCAATATAAGTATGTTTTTGATTATTTTTTTAAATCTCAAGGCAAGCTGGTTATCAGTTTGTGTAGCTGTGAATCTACTTTCTTAAAAGTTTACAGAGAACTCTTGTTACTAACTTGTAAATTGGATTTAATATCTTGAGTGATCAGGGGCCATATCAAAGCAAAAGTATTAATTCCTTTTACCATTTTTTGATATTATAATGTAGAATTATTGAGATATTTGCTAGTTATGATTTCTATAAGCTGATATAAGTTTAATTTTCCAAAAGGAAAAATCACCATCTTCAGAAGTATAAATTAACTGCCTGCTGTGATTTCCCTTTCAAGTTTTATCTGTTCTGTAAAATTCTTCAGTTGAATTTAACTTTTTCTGATAGAGTAAATAAAGTCATTTATATCAGTGTTCAGTTTCTGCAGAATTGCACTCACATGCGTGCCTGTGTGTGAGCAGAGTACTTGCTAGACTGGAGATCTTGTCTTAGGCTTGTTTAGCAGGTGCTCGGTAAAGGTGAATGCTGGGATGAGGGCGTTAGGTGCAAATACAGGCAGGTGTGGTGAGTTTGAGAGTCAGCAGCTCCTTCTGTGCCCCTTATCCCCCCTGATAAAACAGTGATACATGGAAAGTTGTTTCAGGTCGTTTAGTCCAATGCCTCATTTTACCAAGACTAGAGGTTTATTTCAGTTGCTAGAGTTCACAGCTGATAAAAAAATTTAACTCAAATTGACACCATGCTTTTACATGCTGCTAATTCATCCTCTAGTTCAGTCCTGTGAGCTGCTGGCCACTCCCAGATCACCCTGAATCCCCCTTGGGGTTAACCTTGAGTCCACTCTGAAATAAAAAATGCAACAGTACTGCCCCTGAGGAGACCCAGTCTATTTTACCTTTTTTGTTTCTGTTTCCTGTCTTTTTTTTTTTTTTTTTGCTTTTTATAAAGATTTATTTACTTATTTGAGAGAGAGAGAGAGAGTTATAGACAGAGGGAGAGAAAGATCTTCCATCCACTTGTTTACTCCCCAGATGGCCTCAATGGCCAGAGCTGGGCCAATCCGAAACCAGGAGCCAGGAGCTTCTTCTGGGTCACTCAGCAGGTTCAAGGGCCCAAGGACTTACTTGGTCCATCTTCTACTATTTTCTCAGGCCATAGTAGAGAGCTGGTTTGGAAGAGGAGCAGTTGGGAGTAGCACCGGCACCCATATGGGATGCTGGTGCTGCGGGGAGAGGCTTAGCCTACTACACCACAGTGCCAGCCCCTCTTTCCTTTTCTTGACATATCCTACTGCCTGTTTATTGAAACTGGACTTACCTGCGCTTCCTTAGATGTCCTCAAATTAGAGTCCATGAGGGTGGCATTGAGGTGCAACAGGTCAGCCACTGCCTGGGATGCCATCAACCATATTGGAGTCCCTGGGATCAAGTCCCACTTCTCCTTATCCAGCTTCCTGCTAATGTACTTGGGAGGCAGGGGGTGATAGTGCAAGTACTTGGTTCCTGCCACCCATGTGGAAGACCCAAATGGAGTTCCTGGCTCCTGGCTTTAGCTGGCATTTGGGAAATGAACCAAATGTGGAAACCAAATGTGTGGAAAATAAGTATTTCTTTAGCACTCTACCAAATAAATAAATGAATAAATAAAAAACTACAATATTGGAGTGCATATGATTGTAGTATTTGGGTCAGGGAGGGGCTAACTCAGGGACATCACTGATGTTACATAAAATTTTGGTTCCAGTTTCTCCTGAGGAAAGAGCCCCTCAATTTCCCACATCTATGATCGTTGAAGGGTTGACAACCTTTGGTGTCTGTTATCTCCATCAAATCCCAGTTTTGGTTTTGGCAGATGCCTTGGAAAATGCAGACCTCAGAATTCTTTCCCAGGATGGCTGAGTCTGTGATAGTGTGTACCAAGTCCTCCCTGTTCCTGGGAGAGCGCAGAGTGTGCTTCAGTCTGATCCAGTGTTAAGTGACCTCCGAGGCTCTTGATTCTTCAGTGTTTCGAGTGATGTTTAATGTTTCTGGCTCACCAGGAGGCTCTCTTTCAGGGCAGAAAAATAACCATGAACAAGAATCACAGGTGAAAGCCAGCAAGCGACTCCGGGAGCCAACGGATGAAAATGAAGAGGAAGGTGCAGAGCCAAGCGCAAAGCATGTGAAGCAGAGCCCGGTGACGGCGCCTTTAGTTAGCAGAGACGCGTTTTCTTACTTAGGTAAGGCTGCAGTTACGAGAATATGTCTGTGTGTAAACTCCCCCATCTTAGCAGGGGCGTTTGAGCTGATGGTCCTGTCCTCATCTGTCAGGTTATTTGGAAATCTCCAGAGTCAGACTTTGTAAATGATCAAGTGTGCAGATAGCAAACTTCTGGGTGTTCTTAGAGAAGCCATTGTGTAGTCTACAAGTGGCAGCTGTTGTCTTTTTTTTTTTTTTTTTTTTTAAGGATTTTTTTATTTATTTGAAAGAGTTACACAGAGAGAAGGAGAGGCAGAGAGAGAGGTCTTCGGCTGGCACCGCAGCTCACTTGGCTAATCATCCACCTGCAGCGCTGGCACCCCAGGTTCTAGTCCCGGTTGGGGCGCCAGATTCTGTCCCAGTTGCTCCTCTTCTAGTCCAGCTCTCTGCTGTGGCCCTGGAAGGCAGTGGAGGATGGCTCAAGTGCTTGGGCCCTGCATCCGCATGGGAGACCAGGAGGAAGCACCTGGCTCCTGGCTTTGGATTGGCGTGGCACAGTGCGCCAGCCGTAGCAGCCATTTTGGGGGTGAACCAATGGAAGGAAGACCTTTCTCTCTGTCTCTCTCTCTCACTGCCTAACGCTGCCTGTCAAATAAATAAATAAGAGAGAGAGAGGTCTTCCATCTGCTGGTTCACTCCCCAACTGGCCTCTATGGCCAGAGCTGCGCTGATCTGAAGCCAGGAGCTTCTCCCAGGTCTCCCATATGTGATGTTGGTGTCATAGGTGATGACTTAAGACACTGGCACAATGCTGGATCCCCAAAAAAAAATTTTTTTTTTTTTGACAGGCAGAGTGGACAGTGAGAGAGAGAGAGAGACAGAGAGAAAGGTCTTCCTTTTGCCATTGGTTTACCCTCCAATGGCAATGGCCACCGCGGCTGGCGCACTGCGGCCAGCGCACCGCGCTGATCCGATGGCAGGAGCCAGGTACTTACCCTGGTCTCCCATGGGGTACAGGGCCCAAGGACTTGGGCCATCCTCCACTGCACTCCCTGGCCACAGCAGAGAGCTGGCCTGGAAGAGGGGCAACTGGGACAGAATCCAGCGCCCCGACCGGGACTAGAACCCGGTGTGCCGAAAGATCTTTAAAAAAAATATGGGTCTGGTGTTGTGACACAGCGGGTCAATCTTCCACCTGTGGCACCCACATCCCAGTGCCAGTTTGAGTCCCAGCTACTCCACTTCCTATCCAGCTCCCTGCTAATGCACCTGGGAAAACAGCAGAAGATGGCCCAAGTACTTGGGCCCCTGCCACTCATGTAGGAGACCCAGATGGAATTCCTGGTTCCTGAGTTTGGCCTGACCCAGTTCAATCTATCCCCAGTCATTGTGGCCATTTGGGGGAGTGAACAGCAGATGGAAGATGTCTCTCCTTTCTTTTCATCTCTCTCTCTCTCTCTCTCTCTCTCTCTCAATAGATAAAAGCAAATCTTTAAAAAATTAAAATTTTCTTAAAATTAAAAATCTCATAACTTCAGGAGAAACAATAGAAAATGTTTTGTCAAGCTGTACTTGTAAATCAGTTTGGAGTTGTAAATAAATAAAAAGTCAATCAAATACCCTTGATTTGGTTAGTTACCAGTAGTGTGTGAAGCACATCAGCCCCCTGGGGCACTGACAGTTGCCTGAGGCCCAGGGCCCCTGACACAGCACTGGCCTCATGTTGGGGCTGGAAGGAAGCTTGTGGTCTTGGAGATGGATGAGTCCAGCTGAGCCACAGAGGCTCGCCCGAACGCCACGGTCCTGGGAGGAACACGGGCCCATCCATGCTCCGCTCCCTCCTGTGCCTTGGCCTCTGTTTCCCCACCACCCGCTGGAATGATGTTGGCATGTATTGCCACTGTTGGCTCCCACACCCCGCTGCTGGGCTGAAAGTGCGCTGCTGGTCAAGGCCAGGCCTCTTCTGTCTGCTCGGCACAGCGTGGTGTGTGGCACAAGCCCTGATTTCTGTTGCAAAGAAGCAGAGATGGGAAGTCCATTTCAGTACGGGAAGATGTGCCAGGAGGAGCTAGGCCAGGCTTCCTGAGAGAGAATGTGGCTGTGGCACAGAAGGGCAGTGTCATTGTCCTTTGACCCTTTGCGTGGGCTGTAAGAAAGAGGTCTCACTGGTTCTATAGAGGGAGAGCTTTGACTAGAACTTGTCTGTCATGTGGCACCAGAACGAGTGTTTCCCCACAGAAAGTGTCAGCAACCCCACCTAGGAGCTGAGCACATTTCCCTGGACAGGAAACTTAGTTCGTGAGATACCCTCATGGTTTAAAATGCTAATTCAGCTCCAGTCTTTTTGAGGTGAATTTTAGTTACTACTGATATCAGGCCAACTATACTTCCTGTTCCCCTCTCACAGGAGAATTTGTTGTTGTCTACACTGATGGCTGCTGCTCCAGCAACGGGCGGAGGAGGGCACGAGCAGGAATTGGTGTTTACTGGGGGCCAGGACATCCTTTGTAAGTAAATAGAGAAAACTAAGGTTTGTAAAGTTTTTGTTTGTTTGTTGGAAATCTGAGACGGAGACAGACACAAGCAGGTGTTCTATCCTTCGGTTCACTGCCCCCAAAGCCCACAACAGCTGGGGCTAGATCAAGCCAAAGCCAGGAGTTGAACTCTCAATTTGGGTCTCCCACCTGGGTGTCAGAGACCCAGCTACTTGAGCTATCACCTGCTGCCTTCCGGGCTGCACATTAGCAGGAAGCTGGAAAAGGAAGCGGTGCTGGGACTTGAACCTTGGCAACCGAAATGGGATGTGGCCAACCAAAGCAGCATCTTAAGTGCTGTGCCAATCACCTGCTCAGGAAAGCTAAATTAAAAAAAAACTTATTAGGGCTGTCATTGTGGCATAGCGGGTATAGGCATTGCAGCTATACACTGGCATCCCGTATGGTCGCCAATTTGTGTCCCCACTGCTCCACTTCCAATCCAGCTCCCTGCTAATGCACCTGGGAAAGCAGCAGAAGATGGCCCAGGTGCTTCAGCCCCTGCACCCACACCTGGCTCCTGGCTTCAGTGCGCAGGCTGTTTTAGCCCTTTGAGGAATCAACCAGCAGATGGAAGATCTCTCTGCCTTGTCATCTGTCACTCTGCCTTTCAAGTAAACATTAAAAAATTTTTTTTAAATTTCTTATTTGAAAGACAGAATGACAGAGAGAGAAAGAAATCTTCCATCTGCTGGTTCACTCCCCAAATGGCAGCAACAGTTGAGGCTGGGCCAAGCCAAAGCCAGGAGTCAAGAATTCCATCCAGGTCTCCCCTGTGGGCGGCAGGGGCTCAAGCACTCAGGCTGTCTCCCACTGCCTTTCCAGGTGCATTAGCAGGGAGCTGAGTGGGAAGCAGGGTAGCTAGGACTCAAACCGGTGCCTGTATTGGATACTGGCATTGGTGCCACAATGCCAATCTCCCAGAAAGCTGAAATTTTAAACTTTGTTTTACTGGGTCATGTTCCACACCTTGTGTAAAGGTGACTCAGCATCTGCTTGTTGATGGATTGTTTGGAAAATCTGCCGAATAAGCAGCTTTGTTGGAGCATAGCAGAACAGAGCTTGGGTTTGTGTTGGTGCTGAGTGGCTTTGTTCTCTGGAATGTCAGCTTCCTGGCCCTGACTTTAGGCATCTGTCTCACTGACAAGCTTTTACTGCAGAATGGCCTCACTGCCTTCTAACCCAAGATTCACTTGGGGCCCTGGGAGATGGTCCTTGCAGGGGTGGGCTGGGGCAGGTCCCTGGACTCCTGGCTTTCCCAAGGCGCCCAGTCTGCGTGATGTGAGATGCCGTCATTCACAGACACTCGGTCCCTGGCGGTGAGGGCCTTGGACCTCCATGTGGGAAAGTGGCGTGGCCCTGCGCCAGTTCTGAGTTTCCCTCTGCAGTGTTCACCATGCTCCCAGGCACTGCGACTGCCATTGCTGGGAAAGGTGACTGCACTGTCTTTTTAAAAAAATGTATTTTATTTATTTGAAAAGCAGAGAGGGAGAGGTAGAGATCCTCCATCCACTGATTCACTCCCCAAATGACTGCAACAGCTGGAGCTAGGCCAGGCCAGAGCCAGGAGCCAGGAGCTTCCTCCAGGTCTCCCACATGTCTGTCTTCCTTGGCTCTCCCAGGCCATTAGCAGGAAGCTGGATCAGAAGAACAGTGCTGGCCCCATGACGGCACTTTATTTCACTTTGTCGTCTCATTTTAGCTTCCAACCCTAGATTAGGGTGGGGGGAGTGAACGCTGATGTGTTTTTCACAAGAAAAGTCAGCTTTTGACTTGTGCCCAGTGTTCCCTCTAAATTACCATACCATGGTGTCTTTGTGCTGATAATATTGTTGGTTTGACTGATCAGTAGTCTGGTTGGGTGAGTCCCAGTTCTTTGCTTAAGTCCCAGAGCTTAGGGGAATCTCATCTGTCCTGCACCAAGGGGGCTGTTAAGAAGTTCTGGGGAGAGTTTTAGTAATTCACACTCAGGGGCGGCTGCAGCGCGCCGGCCGCGGCGGCCATTGGAGGGTGAACCAACGGCAAAGGAAGACCTTTCTCTGTCTCTCTCTCTCTCTCTGTCCACTCTGCCTGTCAAATAAATAAATAAATAAATGGTAATTCACACTCAGGGGGCCGGCACTGTGGCACAGCGGTTAATGCTCTAGCCTGAAGTGCCGGCATCCCATATGGGCGCCAGTTCGAGACCCAGCTGCTCCACTTCCAATCCAGCTCTCTGATGTGCCCTGGGAAAGCAGTGGGAGATGGCCCAAGTCCTTGGGCCCCTGCACCCGCATGGGAGACCCAGAAGAAGCTCCTGGCTTCGGATCGGTGCAGCTCCAGCTGTTGCAGCCAGCTAGGGAGTGAACCATCGGATGGAAGACCTCTCTCTGCCTGTCCTCTCTCTGTGTAACTCTGACTTGCAAATAAATAAATAAAAATCTTTAAATTAAAAAAAAAAAAAAGTAATTCACACTCAGAAAGCCTTCCACGCAGAGAGACGTCTGAGACTGAGAGGAGCGGGGAGACAGTGGAGCACCTTTGCCTTATCCATAGACACTGCAGTCTGAAAGCAGACTGGCTCTCAGTTCTCTCCTGACACGCCTCCCTGGGCTGTCAGGTGTACTTCTCTTCATTAAACTGTGCTTCAGTATTTTAAAAAAATTACTTCAATATTAAAAAGCATAGTGTTTTTCCTTAAGTTTGTGGGTTTTCTTTAAGATTTATTTTTTCTTTATTTGAAAGACAAAGTTAGATCCCTCCCGTTGACTGGTGTACTCCATAATCGACCACAACAACCAGGGCTAGGCCAGGCTGAAGCCAGGAGCCGGGAACTCCATTTAGGTCTCCTTGGAGAGTGGCAGACGCCCAAGCACTTGAGCCATCTTCCACTGCTTTCCCAGGTGCCTTAGCAGGTAGGTTGGATCAGAAGTAGAACATCCAGGACACAAACTAGCACTCATATGGGATGTTGGCTTTGCAGGAAGTGGCAAAACCCATTGTACCACAATGGCAGCTATAAAAAGGCTGGTTGTTTTGTTTTTGTTTTTTTGATAGATTTATTTTATTTTTTGAAAGGCAGAGTTACAGAGAGAGGAAAAGACAGATCTTCCATCTGCTGGTTCATTCCAAAATGGTCTCAATGGCCAGGACTGGGCCAGACTGAAGCCGGGAGCCGAGAAGTTCTGGGTCTCCAAAGTGCCCAAGCACTTTGGCCAACCTCTGCTGTTTTTCCAGGTGCATTAGCAAGGAGCAGGATCAGAAATGGAGCAGCTGAGGCACAAACTGATGGCCATATGGGATGCCTGCATGGCAGGCAGTAGCTTTACCCTCTACATTGCAGATCGCAGCACTGGCCCCCAAAATGCTGTGTATTTATATTATTGTTTTACATTTCAATAAGAAAAATATATGCTAGTTTATTGTTTCCCATTAAGAAAGAAAAATTACTTTGAGCATTAGCTTTATAATTTTCTTTTGCATTGTTTTGAAACAGAAACCTCAGCATTAGACTTCCTGGGCGACAGACAAATCAAAGAGCAGAAATTCATGTAAGTTTTCAGATATATTTAAATAGGTCATTATTCAGCATCAACTGTGAGCCTATCAATTTTGTTTTAAAATTTATGTATTTGAAAGGCAGAGATACAGAGGAGAGAGAGATATCTTCCATCACTGGTTCACTCCCCAAGTGGCTTTAATGGCTGGGGCTGGCTAATCTGAAGCCAGGAGCCAGGAGATTCCTCCTGGTCTCCCACGTGGGTGCGAGGGGCCCAAGCACCTGGGCCATCTTCCACTGCCTTCCCAAGTGCATTAGCAGGGAACTGGATTGGAAGTAGAGCAGCCAGGACTCAAACCAGCACCCATATGGGATGCCAGTACTACCAGCAGAGACTTAACCTACCATGCCACAGTGCTGGCCCCCTATCAGTTAATTTTGTTTTTGTTTTTACTATCTGTGTGAAGCTCAACATCCAGAATGTACTTTGTGATTAGTAACAATGCTGAAAGAGAGGAATTTTGTAGAAAAATTCTCGTAACATAAATAGGTATGAACAGAAATATGTGTAGCATTACTTCATATAGAGAATAAAATTGTCAGTACAAAAAAAGGGATATTTGAATTTTGAAGTCATTGTGAACATCTATGTCGAGGTTAAATATTCTTTACCTGTGACTGTCTGCTTGTGTTTTTTCAAGGCAGCCTGCAAAGCCATTGAACAAGCAAAGGCTCAGAACATCCATAAGTTGGTTCTGTATACAGACAGTATGTTTACTATAAATGGTAAGCTTTCACATTGTGTTTCAATTTTCTTAAGATTTATTTATTTTTAAAGTCAGTTACAGAGAACGAGAGACAGAGAGAACAATCTTCCATCCATTGATTCACTTCACAGATGGCTGTGACAGCCAGTGCTGAGCCAGGCTGAAGCTAAGATCCAGGAGCTCCTTCTGGGTCTCCCACATGGGTGGCAGGGGCCCAAACACTTGGGCCATCTTCTGCTTTTCCTTTTACCAGGGGTCTGGAGTGGAATTGGAGACACAAACTGGTACATATGGGATGCTGGTGTTGCAGGCGGTGGTTTTACCTACTGCGCCAAGCATGGACCCCACACGTTGTATTTCTTTAGTGTTTTCCCAGTACTGCAGGGAGACAGGCCTTTCTTTCTCTAGTAGGAAGTATTGTAACAGAGCAGGACCTGGGTGGTAGCAGGGATGGCCTCTGGTTAGTCAGGTCAGGGAAGGAGAGAGGAGTGTGGAGTCCCAGTCCTGCTGCTTGATATTCCCATGCTTGTGTGCCACACACTGAAGGTGCACACAGAAGGTAGACCCTAAGGTATGCTCAGGGCACTTAGAGTCTGAACATTGATAAGTGACCTACAGTCACTGTGTTGATAGCTTCTATGGGGTATGTGTTTTGTGCTGCTCCTCCGCACGCGGAGGAGCCGCACCGGACCGGACGCTTGTTGTTCCCTTTTTTTACAAGTCCTTTCTATAGTAAAGTAAGAATAAGTAAACAGCAAACTCCCAAAGCAAGAATGAGTAGAGAGAAGTGAGAAAGAACGAAGTAACGAACTTCCCCGCGAACTCTCCAACGCACTCTCCAACCAACCCACACCACCATGCCGTCTCTCTCCTCCTATATAGTCCTCGCCACCAATCCGTGCTCTGCTACCCACACGCCGAGCGCGCCGCTCTCCTCCAATCAGGAGCGGCTCTTGCAGCTTATCAAGTTGGTAAGAGGCAGCTGGGTAGAAGCTGTACGCTCCTCTCCCAGCGCCACATTGTGGGAGAGCAGATGCATAGAATAAGTCTTAATTCCAGTAACAGTCTAGTCCGAGTTGCTCCCCACAGTTTTGGAGAGTGTTGGGGGATGCGGAAGAGATCAGGGAAGACTTGGAAGAAGTGACATCTTTGGTTGGGAGCTGCAGATCAAATATGAGGTAGAGGGAAGGGAGGAGATGGGGATATTTCAAGTTTGTGCCAAAGGGCAACGCCATGAAGGCTGGCCAAAGACGTAGAGAGCCCAGGCTGAGCGGTTGCGAGAGGATGACCGGAGATGCAAGAAGGGCTGGGTGCCCAAGCTTGATGAGCTGGTGGGTGTGCGTTCTCCAGGGATCACTAACTGGGTGGAAGGCTGGAAGAAGAACGGCTGGAGAACAAGTGCTGGGAAGGAGGTGATCAACAAGGAGGACTTCATGCAGCTGGAGAGCCTCACACAGGGCATGGACATCCAGTGGGTGAGTTCCCAGCGTTCATTGTGCCCAGGTAGTCTCATCAGCTGGAGAGGAGAGGAGTGGTTTATGGATTAGCAGTTTCTGTGAAGTAAGTACCACAGTACATATTGAACACTTTAGATTCCTTTGGTTGTCAGCTGGGTAATGCTGGTCTTACTGAGAGTGTGATAGGTGTGAGATATGGTGTGACCTAGGGGTGTTCTGCACCCCTGCATGAGGTCAGGCACACACAGGAATGCCCAGAACAGCCTGTCAGTTTCTTTGGAATCAGCCATAATGTAATGTATTTTGTTTAGAACAATAATAAAGTTTTGTGTTACGACCTTATTAATATGACTTTTTTCCAAAATGGAAGTGGCTTTTCTATAAAAGATAATTTTTACTTAAAAGATTGTTGTACATATGTACATATGTGTGCTGTGTGTGTGTGGTGTACATAAACATCCACCTACATATATGTACATGTGCTTTGGGTTGTAGGATATACACTTCTGCCCATCTGTACATACATGTGCTTTGCCTGAGAAGCTGAACTAGTGCTAGTTTTAAGTGAGAAAAAAGCCACATAAAAAGTAAAATCCAATTTGTAGAGAAATAAAATAGAATTTTAAGGAAAGCACTCATTACATAAATGCGTTAAGGAGATATATTTGTATATATACAGTTCAGTGCAGCATGCTGTCGGGAAGGAGTGCTCTGAGGTGAGCTTTGGCAGACCCAGGAATCGTGGAGTTGTTAAACAGTGAGAATGTGGTGAGCTGTTGCTTATGTAAAAGTTAGGAAAAATAAAACTTTCTTTTACCAGATGCACGTTCCTGGTCATTCGGGATTCACAGGCAATGAAGAAGCGGATAGATTAGCAAGAGAGGGAGCTAAGCAAGCTGAAGACTGAAGTAATTTTAGGACTTGGGAAGACCTGGCCGGAGGCTGTGGCGCGCGCCTCCTGGTATGGAGCTGAGCCTGCAGGATGCACCACTGCGTTCCGTGGGTGACACACCTCTGACTCACCAGGAAGGCTGGACTCGAGATGTGGTGTGGTGAAAAGTGGTTACGTGTATAATAAACTAAACAGCTTTGAGATCTGAGATTTTACCATTATGCTTATTGGGCTCATACCGTTCTTGTTTGTTTTATTGCAGTCTGGCCCATCATCTTAGGCTTTGATTTTTATAAGGAATCAATAAAGAATCAATCAGAGATTCAGACCAGAAACCCAGAAGTATCCTGAAAGAATTGGTATAGATTGGGTCTCCTGCTTTGACAGACAGTGTGCACACAAGAGAAAATGCAGCTGGAGGGGCCCCCAGCTCTGAGGGAGAACGTGAGCTGGGTCTCATTTCAGCCCCAGGTGCCCAGTACTGTGTATAGGGCAGAGCCTGCAGTCACATGACCCTGGCTCCTACATCATTACAAAGAAACACATACATCTTTTAAAGACCAAAATGGAGAAACAAATCTCGTAGAAATTTTTGGCATAAGCCAGCCATACGGACCAGTGGATTATGCCACCATTTGTGACAATGGCATTCCATAATGGAGCACTGGTTCAAATCCCAACTGTTCTGCTTCCAATCTAACTTCCTGCTAATGCACCTGGGAAAGCAATGGATGATGGATGGAATACCTGGACCCCTGCCACCTACAAGGGAGACCAGGATGGAGTCCTTGGCTCCTGGCTGTATGTTGGCCACAACCTAGCTGTTGTGGGCATTTGGGAACCAATCTGGGAAGTGAACCAGTGGTTGGAAGGTCTCTGTTGCTCTTTCTCTCTTTCTCCTCTCTGCCTTTCAAATAAATAAATAAATCTTTTTTAAAAATGTATTTTGTTCTCTTTTTGTTAAAAACACTACTCGATTTTTTTTTTCAAGAAAAGGATACAGTCAGTTATGCTTAAATTTTATATATGTGAAGTGACAGAACAAATACATGGCTTACTTATAAGTGAATACCCTTGGGTCTGCCGTCCTGGTAAGAAATAGTTTTTCCAGATGCCCCAGAGCTTCCCCCTGGCCTTCAAAAGCAGTCCTGACTTTCACAGAAATGACTTCCTTACATTTCTTAAATGCACATTTTCTTTTAAGTTCATTCAAAAAATTGTTACGTTTACCATTTTATTTTGAAAAGCAGACAGAGATAGGTTCCCACCAGCTGGTTCACTCCAAGTGCCCCCAGCAGCCAGGGGTGAGCCCACTCAAAGCCAGGAGCCAGATTCTCCATCTGGGTTCCCCACTTGTGTGGGCAGGGACCCAGGTCCTTGAGCCATCACGTGCTGCCTCCGAGGGTGCACATTAGCAGGAGTCAAAGACAGCCAGGCTGGAGCTCAGGCATTCCAGTAAAGGGGAGAATATCCTAAAGCAGCATCTTAAACGCCATGCAAAATGCCAGCCCTGTCACTTGCTTTTTTAAACTTGGCATTAACTCTCTTAACTGACAGTCCCCTCCGCCCTGTTGTTTTCCCTAGAACACGCTGGAGGACCTGGGCCACTGCCCTGTTGCTCCCCACCATCTGGACCTTGCTGACTGCACTCATGCAGTCAGAATGTTCCTTGGTCCTCTGTCTTCTCAGAGTTGCTGGCTCTGAAGGCTCGACCAGACCCAGGTTGGATCCATTTGGCAAGACGATAGGTGGTAGGTGCTGTGGTTGGGAGTCCTGATGTTGAGAACTGCTGATGCGCGGTGCCTGGCGTCTAATTCTTCAGGGCTGCAAGCGGTGAAGTCCGAATTCCATCTTGTTGCTGCTGTTTGTTGGCTGGATTCGTTTCCTAAGACAGTGCTTCCCTCATCCACTATTCGCCAAACAGTGCAGTTAATGGAAAGGCAGGATAAATACTTGATCCTTTGTGCCTCTCTTCTGATCTCCAAGAGAACGAGTTAGTTCCCTGTCATTCTTAGAAAGGGAACAATTCAGGTTTTTTATTTTATCAAGAACTCACTGTCAAGCATGTCTGATGCATGTCAAGCCATTGCAGTTTTTGTCTTCATTAAACTCAAATTGTAGTTTCTTTGGATGGTGAGAGCCTTCTCAGGTCAGCTTTGATAATGTGTGTGCCCACATGTGCAGACATACACATGCGAACACACACAGCCATTGACAGCCCCCTGCAGCCTGGCACATCAGAGTGGAGTGCACCAGGCCCGCCTTGAACATCTGCTGCAGCTGTTGCTTCTCCCAGATCTCTGGTGCGCTGGGTGTTTCAGGCCTGCAGTGAGGATGCTCAGCCACAGCTTGGTTGAAGGGAAGGCAGACGCTTGTGGTGCCAGGAAGCTGGGCACAGGCTCGGGACCTGGGGCATGGCCACAGAGCAGCAGTCTTGAGTGCCAGCTCTAAGTTCTGATGTAGGAGATTCTGTGGGGACTAAGTGGGAAGTGGGCACTGGCTGCCGGCACCACAGACTGCCTGTAGTAGGAGGGGGTAAACAAAATTCAGGGAGGCACCGAGATGTCCTGGGAGTGGGGGGTGAATCTCTGACGGTGCAGATCCTGCTTGTTCACATGTCGTCAGATGGCCTCTCATCCTTCAGTCCGGTTGGGATATCTGTCAAGATAGAACTGCTCCAGAGAGGACAGGCCTGCAGCAGGGACCCTGGGTCCTCGTGGGCTTAGCTGAGCTGTTCAAAGTGTACTCTGTCTTCTGAATCCAAATCCACTCGGTTAAATAGACTTGGGGCTGGTGTTGTGGCACAGTGGAAGCTTAAACAGTGCACCACAGCGCCAGCCTCCTGGCTACTGCAATTCAGATCCAGCTTCCTAAGGCAGCCAGGAAGGCAGTGGATGATGGCCCAGGTACTTGGGTTCTGTCACCCATGTGGAGGACCCAGATGGAGTTGTAGGCTCCTGACTTGGGCCTACTCCAGCCCCTGTTGCAGACATTTGAGGGAGTGAGCCAGCGGATGGAAGAATGTTGTGGGGCCCTTTGGGTGTGATTAGATCACAGAGAGTAGTTAGGGTTTCGATATAGGAATTTGGGAAGGACTTTGAATCCATAACATTGTGCAGAGCCTGATCCCAGCTTTGAAAATGAGGGAAGAGGAAAAGGAATTATGTTTACACATACCACAGAGCCTCTGGTACAATTTGAATTTAGTCCCAGCTGGGTGGAGCTGGGACTCAGTATCTGGGTTAGTATCCTGCTCCCCAATACGTGGGCCAGCTCAGAGAGCCAGGATGAGAGCCAGATGCCCCAGGTGCTGCGCCGAGTGCTAGAAGCAACACTGGAGCAGAGATGTGGAGGATTGCAGGAGGGACTCCGTGCAGGAATCCAGGCAGAGTGCCGGGGCCGAGGGCAGAGCAAGAACAAACAGGTGAGCACTGCTGGCTGCAGCTGGGGAGAAGCCGGGCAGAAGTCAGTCACGGAGGTTCTGAGCAGGGACCACCCAGCATTTCTTAAACAAACTGGTAAGGATCTAGAAGATGGAACGTGACACGTGTCTGTGGAGAGGTTTTGTTCTGGGCTGAACTGTGTCTCCCCGGGTTCATAGTTGGGGGCCCCGAGTGTGGTTCACTTGGAGGCGATTAAGGCGGATGAGATCATTGCCACAGGCCCCATCCAGCCTGGCTGGTGTCCTCATGGGAGAGGGAAATGCGGACACCAGGGATGGGGGCACCAAGGGAGGAGCTCATGAGAGCGTGGCCAGAAGGCGCCATCTGCAGGCCAGGGGAGGAGGCCACACCTTGATCTCGGATTTGAGCCTTCAGAGCGGGCAGAAGTTTCTGCTGTTGAAATCGTCCAGCCTGTGGTGTTTTGTTACGGCAGCCCTAATCAAGCAGATATGTAGGCGAGATACCAGAAGATTCTATACCAAGAGCTTAACAGTGGTGACTGTGGCTGGTGGGATCATGGCTGGGTCAACAGACAGCTCTGTAGAAAGGTTAATAAAAAGGCTGATTCGGGGAGGAATGAGTGACCACAACTTGGGAGACAGCCCAGTGCCTTGTGATGAGGCTTGGAAATTGTTCGAGTGGTCAAATTTTAGCACTGATGTATTCTGTCACAGTACATTTCTCTCTCTCTCTCTCTCTTTTTTTTTTTAAAGATTTATTTATTTATTTGAAAGTCAGAGTTACACAGAGAGAGGAGAGGCACAGTGAGAGAGAGAGGTCTTCCAATGGTTCACTCCCCAGTTGGTCGTGACGGCCAGAACTGCATCAATTCGAAGCCAGGAGCTTCTTCTGGGTCTCCCACGTGGGTGCAGGAGCCCAAGGACTTGGGCCATCTTTTACTGCTTTCCCAAGCCATAGCAGAGAGCTGGATTGGAAGTGGAGTAGCCAGGTGTGTATCTGGCACCCAGATGGGATGCTGGCGCTTCAGGCCAGGGCGTTAACCCGCTGGGCCACAGCGCCGGCCCTAGTCCATTTTTCATTGTCATCACATGGTGAATGCTCCCAGTAAGCTGGGGTGAATTTGGCGGTCGGAGGTTGCTGTTGTCAGCGTGACTGGTCACACCCATCTCAGAGGCTGCATGTGCGGGAAAGCAGGCCGCTGACGAGTTTCAAGAGGCCACGTCTGGCAGTGGACCGGGCAGGGCCGTGTGCGGCTGCCCCAGGGGGCCCAGAAGAAGCAGAGCCCGTGTGCACATCAGCCCTGCGCCCTGGTGGCTGAGACGCCTCCACCAGGCGCCGCACACACGGGGCTCAGCAGGTGGGGTTCCTCTGGAATGCTCTGAAGATGTTTTAGGAGCAGTTTCTTCTCAGATGACCCAAAACTGTTTTTTCAAAATCACTGGCTGAACTGTCTCTGCTTTTTCTAAACTAACTTGTGTTTGATACAGATATCTGCGAGTTGAACACATATGTTAAAGAGGAACATTGATGGTTTATGTCCTGCCCCTCTGATTTGCCAGCTTGGGAACTGGTGCTGTACCTGGTGCAGGTTCCTTGGGTGGAGCCCCAGAGCCAAGAAGAATAAACTCCAGTGCCAGGGCCACCACGGCAGCCCACGTCGAGTCAGTGCCCAGTGCAATATGGTGTGTGTTGGGGTGGGGGGTCCCTGGTGCCCTCCTCAGAGCTCCTCCCACCGCACAGCTGTGGCTACCCCACTCCTCTCACCCCCGGGCTGGGTCACCATGCCCAGCTGCAGCCTCTGCTG